CATTACTTTCAAAAATTACATTTCTATTAGAATATATTAAACTATTAAAAAATACAAAGTTCTCTTATTTAAAATAGACTTACTTCTATTTAAAATTAATAATAAAATGATAATATCTGTATTATTGAGAATGTTATAAAATATTGAACAAATCTTCATCATCATAAGCATCTAATTCAAGATAAAGAATATTATTTTATTTAGTTGATTATAATAGATTATTTTCATTTTAATTTGTATTTTCTTATTCAAATTTAAATTAAAATAATTCTTATATCAATTTACTTTTTCCATTATTTGGTTAACCATATACTAAAATAAGATTATTTTCATTAAGTAATGAATTCAATTTTTCCATTTCATATCTATTTTCTTCTCTGTTTTAAAAATATTCATTTACTATTGAATTAAATAATAACTTATCTGCATTATTCATATGATATTGTAATAAATCAAAAAGATCATTCAATTTAATAGTTCTCAATGTCTTAACTACTTAATTAAATGAATAAAATCTTGCAAGATTAAACAAATCATTACCAAAAACACTGATTAATGTCTATATCAATTTCATCAATATTTCAACAGTATCTTAATTGTATATTATTTAAATAAGTGCTTACCATAGAATCATTATATCAGGTTAATAGACATGAATATTCTTAAAAGATAGAATGGGATAATGGACATCTGATATGAGAGTTAGAAAATGTTTATTTTATAATTTCAATTATCTTCCTTCTTAATCTTAAATCTATAATTATTACCATAAAGCATTACAAATTTAATTAAATATACTTTATAAGATTAATCTATCATCTTATTATAAATATTAATATCCTGAGATAATAAATAAAGAATTAGATTATATTGATCCATAGATACATTATAATAAATATTAGAAATCATAATCATGACTTGTAATTTACATTTATTTGTAATAACGTCCTAAAATTTATGAATATTATGTTATAATGTAATATTTACTATAATGACCAATAAGATGTGGTAATCGATTTATTTAGAATGCTTGATTCATAAGTAAAATAGATTATTCAGATTATTTCCATGAATGATAATTAAATTCATCACCAAAAAATTCAAATTAATATTAGATTTTATTATTCAAGAAATTAACAATTATGTTTTCATCATCATAATAATATTTAATTTATTTTAAATAAAAGTAATCTTTATCACTATTAATTTTAAATTAATTTATCTCCTAAATTAAATGTTTTTAATTATTCAATATCATAATTATTGCAATCTATCTTAATTATTATTTAATTGATTATTTCTCAGAATGTAATTATTTAATTTATTCTTATATTTCATATTATTTAAATTCAACTAATTCATTCCAATCCTTATCATCATTTTAAAGAATATCATCTAACATCATTGTATAAGTAATAGTCATACATATATATATAATTTAAATAGGATATTACACAATCTATTAATAATTATCAGCATGTTTCAAAGCATTCTTAATTATTTATCTCAATCCTTATTTCATACCTTCTTCTACTGTTTTAAACCAATCCTCAATCTCTCCTTTCATAGGACAATACTTAACAGCTATTTAATCATTTTCTTTAGAATATAAAGATGTAACAGCTTCTTTATTTTGATCATAATCAAATTAATGAATATTTTGGAAAAATAAACTTAAATATTGCTACATAGCTGCAGGATGTTTAACTTCAGAAACAACCTTATTAAATTATGAATTAGTAAGAAAATTAAATCTTGGAAATAAATACTTTTTCTTATCAAATTATTCATTCAATTATTGTATTATACTTTTACAATTTTAATTATCTTATTGTATTTATTTTAAGAATTTCTTCTCATTTTCATCTTTAATCCATACTTCTAAACTCTTCTATTATTAAATTAATCTTATTAATTGTTTCCACTATTTTTCTTAATGCTAATACATTTTCATTTCCTTACTTTAATTCTTTTGATTAATTTAAGTTGATAATACATTTGTTAAATAATATTATGTGTCTTATAAGAGTGTCAATTAATTGATATATTCTTATAGATAAACTATATTCTTTAATTGTAAATCAATTCTATTTCTTAGATCATCTATATTTGGTTATCCTAGAATATTATTGATAATCAAAATATTCTCATCTAATTATTCATTTAATTAACTTAAATTAATAATAGAATATTGATCCTTTGTTCCTTTTATCTTTTAAATAAGTAATTTATGATTCTTCCAAAATTCTTCTAATTTAATAAGTGAATTCATCGTTTAATTTTCATATTAAATTATGATTAATAATTACTATAAATTATCTTATTATTCATTAATATCTGATTATTATAAATATTAAGTAGTAAATACTGGATGTGAAGGATTATTACATATTTATAATATTAATTACAATAAATTTTTATCTTATTATCTGTCTTTCTTACATACTTAAGCTACAATATTTTGATCATAATCTTTTATTTGTAATATGATTTCAATTACATTATATAATTTTAATTCATTAATCAATTATGTTTTAATTTATGTCAATTAAGATTAACCAAATATTTTACAATCTTCTATCTAATGTAATAGATTTTAATAAGTTGTCTTTATAATAGATAGATTCAAATCAAGAAAGTGTTCTCTCATCCATTCCTATTGTAAATTCTTGATCTTATGAATTTCTATTTATAATTACTTAAATTAAACATATTTGTTCTTTATCTCATGTAACTATTCATTATGATATTATTCTATTTACAAAGAATGTGAATATTACTTTAAATCTTCATATTCTAATTCCAAAGTAATCAATTATCCTTGTAATTATGAAATCGAATTAATATCATCAATATCTTTATTGTTTTCAAATTATTCACAAAATTATAATACCTTCTAATGAAAAAATGGAGTCAATTTTCTAAATTCCTTTTCAAACTTATCTTAAACTAATCCATATTGATTTTATAAATCATAATACTTATATTAAAATAATTAATATTAACTAACTATCTTATCCCAAATATCCTTTATAGGAATTGTTTAATCTTAATGAATATAAATTCTATTATAAACATGTAATTCTTCTATTTATTAATCTATTGCTTCATAATTTGATTTAATCAATAAATAATTCTCTTGATGTATTACATATTATTTCAATGTAACTGGTTTCAATTTCAATTTCTCTAACCATTCTTGTATTGTTTCTTATAATATTTTACATTTCCCTCTAAGTTCCATATCTACATTCTAATTAATAGCTTAAATCTTATTCTTAAAAAAGGTTTACATTTACAATTTAAATAATTAAATGTTCAATCTCAAAAATCCAATATCCACTATATTCTCTATTGTTTCCATTTCAGTTTACATTTCAGATATCAATTAAAATTGAAATTTCAATACTTCTGCATTCAATAATTAATCTTCACTCTTTGCAAATTCATCCAATAAAATCTATATCTTTAACATATAATGCTCTATTTATTTATAACTAAATTTTAACTCTTCACCAAGTTCCTCTATATAATCATATTATTTTAAATTAATTCTTCCATATTCCCTCAAATCCTATCTTAAATCTGTTGAACTTGAACCAACTCCATAATTTTGTAATTCCTATTATTTTCTAGTTGATTAGATGCCTTACTCAATGATATCTATAGCCTTATCAATTGTTTAAACAAATATATCCAACATACCTTTAAGTGATGGTTCAAACACTATGGTTCCCTCTTACAAATGAATCTCCACAACTATCCAACTAAATTAGGTTGTTCTATTTAATAATAATATTAATTACCCAACTTTAAGATGTTTATTAGCATTCTTAATTACCTTTAAGAAATTAACTATAGAATTGTACATCAATATTATCATGCTCTCAAGTTAAATGTAATCGATCATTCTAGTAAATTTAATTAGTTTCTATTGAAATTATCTCAAATTTGATTCCATTGTGAATTACATTGACTATGTAGAATTATCCTAATTATAAGAAGAGCATAAATACACCAATTATTAGAGGCTTTTATTCCATTTAAGAATTTCTTATCAATTCCAAATTCTACCTATAACCTTGGTCTTCTTTAAATATACTAAATGAATATTGACATGCATCAACAACTATTTTCAATATTAAATTAATATTCTTAGCTAATTCTTTTTAGAACTCATTTAAAGATCTTTATAATTTCTATATGAATTTTGTTTAATTTACAGGACTCATTTATGTAGGTGTAAAAAAGACTAAACCCTTTATTCTTTAAGTATATTTATGAATTTCTTCTATGGGTCTCTTAAGTGATTAATCTAAGAGTAAATAACTAGTTGTTAATTCCTTAGAAATTGATTATGCCTTATTTTTAATACTTAACTTCTTCCATCTAGTGAATGTTTTTTGTTTCAGATAATTTCGAAAGAACTCTATCTTTTGTAATCTATAAAATAATTTCCTGTCATTTTCAAATTGTTTTATAGACACAAATTCCTCAAAATTACTATGATGTATTATAATTCCCCTTCCACTTATAGTCATATAATAATCCATATTTCTATCATCATAATTTACAACCTTCCATTCATAAGGATTACCATAATTGTTCAAATAACAAAATTCCTATCCCAAATTTTAATCCGTCTATAATAAACGAACAAAATCATTAGGTCCCAAAAATCCTATTGAATATTCTCTAACACTTTCAGATTTCCCTCTTTATCGTAATGGTGTAATCTAACTCAATTAAGGTTAAACTATTTGCGGCAATTAAAAACGCTGTGGACTAAATGCTTTTATATAACGTTTTCGATTAGTTTCAATGAATTACGATTACTCATTTTTTGTAGACATTATTTTTGGAATAAGAGGAGTATCAGTAGTTGTTTTAATCTTTAATTTCTTCCTTAAATACTATTAATTCATTATAAATTTAAGAAATATATTAAAAACCATTTATATGTATTTTCAATTTGAGTAATGTATATATATATATATATATCAAATGAAACATAGTACTATGGTCAATACAAGAATGTAGCATAAACAACCATAGAAATAACTAATTGTAAATAAATTAAATACTCTTAACAATGTTTATTGTACTTAGAAGTTATAACTAAACTAACCCAACTAGCTATTTATAAAATCTATCTCCCTATTGTCTTATCTATAAGATTTGTAACTAAAACAATCATCATTGGAAGACCTATTAATGCCAACCATATGAGTATATCTCTTATCTCACATTTCAATTCTAATTAATTTGCTATCAATTTTTTATATTGCAATATTTGTCTCTACATAATAAAATAAATTAAGATTAATTAAAGCAACTTCCAATTATCAAATATTATAAAATTTAGATTTAAAATAATTATTAAAATTAATGCTTTTATTATTTTTTACCATGTAATTTTCTTCTCTTTTTTCTTCTCATCATATTCTAAATCATCTAATTGAATTGCTCCTCTTAATGTATCATCCACATATTAATTCTGCTATACTTTACTTTCATATAAGATCTACATTCTAGGCTAATTAGTTTATTCAACTGTAGACAGTAATTTTGTAAGCGGCCTATCACTTTGAAATATACATTCCACTTCCCTTCCTAATTAATCATATGCAACTGACTTAAGGGTTTTAAGTATTCCAAATTTGATTTCACCAAAGTCATCTTAAAATTTAATTACATTCAAATTAGCTATATATATATATCTAAATTTCTTACGCTAAATTTAAGCAACACTTTATTAACGAGTTATTAAAACTCCAGGAACATTATTTTTCAATTAAAATGAAGGCCTTTTATTATCACCCAAATAATTCATTCCTTAATCCTATCTTATATTTTATTATTCAGCTTTTTCCCCTTAAAAATTACTTTAAATTTTATTATTATCATCCTTTATACTAGAATTACTCTCATGAATTGAAGGAATCACTGGCAGTTGGTTAGGTAATTCTATTTCTTAATCCACTTTATTATTTCTCTCTGATAGCTAGGTATTTATAATCTATATCTAAGGTATTTCATTCTTCTCCTTCTTTAACTCCTTATAAGAAAATAATATCATAATAAAACCTGAAATAGCTATTAAAACATCTAATTTTCAATAATGTATAATTACAATTTGATTCACTTATATGCTTTATTTCCAATAAAAATATACTTATGTTTGATATAGAAAGTAGTAACTTAATTATCTTTTGATTACATTCCCACTCTTTAAAAATAAACAAAGCAATCACAGACACAAATAATAATGCTGATTCAATAATCAAAATCTAGCTATTCATCCTCTACTTTAAATAATTATTTATGAGAATTAAATTTAATTAAAATCTGGAATCCAAGAGAGGAACCTCATAAATCTTTTTAATTAATCAAATCATTAATAAATATATGATAAAATTTATATAAAATTCATTTATGTTGTTATTTTATTTAATTAATACAATATTATATATATATATATAATTAATGAATATATATTTAAAATCACCATATTAAATACTCCTCCTGTAAATATTATTCTCCTTTATTACTGAAAAATTGATTGATGTTGTAGCCATTATTTTACCCATCTAATATTCATTACGATTGCTTAATAACCAAAATGATCAAAAGAAATAATTGAAATCAGATAAATATATATCAAATATCTAATAATGGATTACCTTTCTTTTGATTTATTACATCAATGAATATTACTCAAACAATATCATTAAATATGCAATTTGGTTTATTTTTTACTAAAAAAAGGTTTAGAAATATTGGCAATCAATATTTATAAAGTATTAAAATAAACTCATAAAAATTGATTGATTTATTACATATTCTAATATTTATATCCTCTTTATTTATACTAAGTTTAGTTAAAATGACTATCAAAAATTTGATTAAATTATTCTCTCATTTTATTCTTAAAAACTATCTTAATATAGTAAATATTCATATATATAACTTAAGTGGTAATAATTTGTAATTAACTAATTATATAAACATATAAATAAGTGATAAATTTAATATCATTATTAAAAATTTATATGAAAGGTATAGATTATGATATTATTGAATATTTTCAATATGAAAATAAATAATAACTTAATAAGGAACTTTCATTAAATTAAATAGGCAGAATTGAGTATATACCTAATGAAAGATGGATTAAATAAACAATAAATTTGAAGAATTGCATTCGCTTAAGAGATTTAATGCTTTGGATTGTAATTATAAACTTATTTTAATAAGGAAAAAGGATTAGTGTTAATATCACTAGGATAGATATTGAGATTATGTCAAAATCTACTTAATAAAGTTATAGAATTATAACAAAATTAATTAGATCATTGTTATTTAACATCTAATAGAATATGGTTAAAACTTACTTAAAATAGTAAACTACTCACTATTGCTCATGTAGACATTGAATATTAAATTGTATTTACAGGCTTTTAATGTCCAATCTTTGAGAATTAATCAAATAAATAGTCAGCCTCTACTTCTATTATACAAATAATGATATAAATAATTAAAGTCTTTGAAACAAACTTTCATTAGTTTAGATACATTTAATATTTGAATTAATAAATTTTTCACATTCTATATCAGCAAAAGGATTTATATTAAGCATAAAATTGTATAAGGCAATTATATTAAATATATAAATCCCATAAAAATTATAATGATTATTGCACAGAATTTCAAGAAATAAATGAATATCGAAAATAAATGGAATATGGGATATCAAAACTATTTTCTACAATTTTACATTGTTTTAATTGTCATGAAGGTTTTTTTAAAGAGGATATGATTTTAGGATTAATATCAATAATTGGTGAAAGTATAAAGCAGAATACCTTAAAAAAATTAGAAGAAATTGATTATTAAAAAATGTGTGAAAATTAAGAAATCTTTTGGAACAACAAGATTAAATCATTATTAACAGATAATACATTAATTATTATAAGAAATTAATTTTAATAAATTGAAGAGATTACTAGGCTTGAAATTTCATAGGAGAATGAATAAATGATGATTGATCAAATTAACAGAGAAATAACAAAATCTTATATTCTAAAATATTTTTTTAATTCTATTTGGATTTGGACACCAAATTATTAAGAGTGTAAATAACAGCTTATATAAAATCTTATGCCTAAATTAAAATACCTTACAAAGGAGAGAGTCGACTTACATATTAAAGAAATGGCCTTTCAATTTATTAATGAACTAATTTGAATTTTTGATAAAAATTATATTCACTAACTCATTTTAAATATATATATATATAGATTGACAATATGTTTACTAGTTAAAATTAAAATGAAGTTAAAATTAATTTTTGTTGGATACTCATCAATACATTATTAGAGATTTAATCACACTCCAAATAAATAGCAGTGAAATAATTAATTTATATATATATATCTTTATATTCATAATCAATTATTAGATCGAAATAATATTTAAATTAATTACTCAATTAAATATTATTTAAAATTTATATATGTTTAATTATATATTTTTAATTTATGTATAGAATTGACAACTTAAATTTAGAGAATTTTGAGAAGATTGTGATCTAATTTCCTAGTAATTAATTACAAGAATCTTAAACTGTGTGGAGATAACTAAATAAAAAATACCCAAATAAGTAATTCATTATTTCAGCTGATCCATTACATTCATCCTGTTGTGTAAATGTAATTGGAGCACGACATATAAAACATGATTTAATTATTCATTTTGGAGAAACATGCTTCTCAGAATCTCAATCAGATAATATTATGTATGTATTACCTTATTTTGAATACGATTCAGCTGCATTAATTAAATCTATAGAATCAATTGAATAATCATCTTGGGTTTTATTTGATTAAAAATATGATCACATTTAGATTGATGAAAGTAAACACATATTTCTTTAATTCTAAAAGTAATTGAATTAATAACAAACACAACATATTGCTTGTGGTTATCATGCAGCTGAATTAAGAAAATAATTAATATTTATAGGATCTGAAGATAGTGAATTGTTATAAAGATTTATTTTACATTTTGAATATGGAAAAATAGAAAAATGTTATATCATAGATCCTATTACATGTTAACATTAAATATTATCAATTAATTAGATGCCATTAATAATCAAAAGAACAAAATAAGTTGAAGAAGCATCTGAATGTAAATGTTTTGGTATTCTAATTAATAATTCTACTGCTAAATATACTAAAAATGCATATAAAGCATGCAAATAGATTTTAAAAAATAATCAAAAAAAATACTTTACATTTTCAATGAACAGTCTCAATGAAGCTAAACTTGGAAACTTTCCTGAAATTGAAGCCTATATTATTATAAGTTGCTATAGAAATTCTATTATTGATACCAAAAAGTATTATAAATTGATTATCACTCCCTTTTAATTACTTTAAGCATTTTCAGATGTTAGATATTTAGTCTAAAGTGATTTAAGTTTACTTGAATAAGAATAACAATAAGAAGACAATCAAATTATTTAAAAAGAATAAATAAATAAATAAGAAGAATGCACTGCTTTATTAGCTTAAAATAATGAAAATCAATTAATAGCATTAGATAAAATATTCTAAACTTTAGATTTTTATAAGAATAGATAATATTAAGGATTATAAATTAGAGAAAATCTTGAACCAGCATAATTAGAAATTGGATTAAGTGGAATAGCAAGTTTTTATGAAAAAGAAGGAAATAAATGATGTTATTAGTGTATATATCACTTAAATATAATATCTAATTTAATTGGCATTTAATAATATGTTATGTTTGGTTGTATTTCTCCCCAAGGATGATATGAAAGGACTATGATATTTAATTGTTTATTCAATAGAAGCAACTTCTTTATCAAACTAAAATAAAAGTAATTAAGAATATTACTCATCATAATTGACTTTTGGATTTGAACTATTAATGTAAATTTTATTGAATGCCATACATACTTTTTATATACATGGATTCTCTTTTAATTTTATATTAATTATTTTCAAAGCTTCAAATTCATTAACAATTTAGAAATTAAAATCTCTCAAAATGGATGTAAATTAATAATCACTATTTATTATTAATTTATTTTCACACTTACATTTTTCTTAAGGGAATTATATTTATTCCATTTGAGTAGTTAGAGATTTCAATCTTCCTGATTCCTATAGTTTCATCATGCCTTTTAATTGAGGTCTTTTAATTATTCTGTCTTCTAGTACTTAAACTACTTTTTTCTCTTCATTTTTCATTACAATATATTTAATAGGTCTAAGTATATATAATATTAATACTTTTTAAATCTATTCAAATATTGAGTTTAATCTTCAACTATGTATCTCTCAATAATTTCATCTTGATTTTAATCATCTTCATCTAAATTCTCATCAAGAAGAAATTAAACATTATTCTGATCATATATCATATTTCTGACAGTAAATGAAATTTTGGTGCCATATTCTTATGTTGTGATAATTCTCAATCCTTTATTTGCTATATGTCCATTAATCTTTTTATTAAAAAATGAAACTCCCAATATTTTAGTCAAATAATTGGCTATAAAGAGACCAGAAAGTTTAGTACTCGATTCATCCTTAAGTTCATCTAGATTAATCCCTTTACCTGTATCTTGTATAGATATTTGAATGCAATTTGGTCTAGCATCATTTTCAATTGTTATACCAATAAATCCATCCTTTGTTTATTCTATACTATTTTCCATTAATATATCAATAATCTATCGAAGACGTTCTTCATCTGTAAAGAAATTAGTGTTCAATTTGACTAGATTTCTAAATTAATATTTTATTGTTGGAATTCGTTAATTATAATATTCTTACAAATTGATTACCATTTGATCGAAGTTAATGTTATCATAATTTATTCTCAATTAATTCTATTCTAAATAACAAGATTTTATTTCAATATTTTATATTTTTGTTAAGATAGGACAGCTCTTAATTGTTGAAATTTAACGAATCTCAGATAATAAGATATTAATATCTTTAACATCTTTGATCTCATAATTTTCATCCTTTGTTTTCATTTATAATTTAACTATTTCAGAAACATCATCCAAAAATAGATAAATCTTATTATTGCGAATCAAATGAAATGAAAAATAGTATTACTTTTCCTTACTCAATTTTAACATTAATAAACCTTTTAAATATTCTTGATCCCCTTTTACTAGTTCATTTAATAGCTATTCTAACTATCCCTAAGTTTATAATCTTGGCTAATCAACTTATTACTATTATCTCAATTGTTGTAAGGCTGGACCATTAATTAAAGAATGTAATAAATCTCCTTTTTCATTTACTCCACAAGTAGATCCAAATTTAGCTTATCTAGTCAATTTAACAGTCAATTCTTTAGTTGATACTTATTCCTTTCTATTAAAGACCTCTATGATTTCCAATTTTCTTAATTGTTTTTCAGCTTAAAATATATCATTTTGACCTAATAATTTCAAAGTTTCAGATGAAATATTCAGTATTTCTTTGGTTTAATCAAATATAACAACTGGGAATACCTTCAGATAGGATTCAAGAAGGAATTGTTATTAAAACATTCTCATTGGAGGAACTACTTCTTGAATCACTTATTTAGTGTGAATCTAAGTTTCAATTTTATAAAATACATTATTTTCCAATTAATAATCAGCATAATTCTTTAATTCTTTATCGATAACCATTACTAATTCTAAAATAATATAAACTGATGCTTTTAATAGATTATAGATCCATCTAAATTCTTAACCTGATACTCTAAATGCGTAATAAGTATATAAAAATAAAAATGCTGCAAATCTAACCTTAAAATCGTATATAAATAACACCAAGATTTTTTACCATATTATTAAGGCAAAGACAACCCAGAATTAAGAAGTATGATAAGTTCTTGCCTATCCATCAACTATTCTTTCAACAACTAAAATTCCCATTGTAATGAGTAGACACATAAAAATATATGTTGTTACTCTCCCAAAAAGTAATGGATTTTGAATCTTTTTTGGTATCACTTCACAAGCTTTAAGTAATAAATATAGAACAATGCAAAGTCCACAGATTTGGAGAATCACTTAAACCAAATTGGTCAGTATATAATCACCTAAATTTGACATCAGTATCTACCTTCAATAATATTGGTTGTAGCTTTTGACAATATGTTCACACTACCTAAGAGAAGACCAACAGGTAATAGTAGAGCTAATGGTACTGTTTATCCAGAAGCTCCTTTTATAAAGCAATAATCAAGGTATTCTCTAAGTTTAACATAAAATAGCACTGATTTTATAATCCAGCATACATAATTTTGTACTCATTTATTAGAGCCTATATAACATTTCGTGTATGTTATGGTTCAGATGATTTTATTAAAGCATCATTTTCTTCCATATTAATTATTTTTATTATAATTGTATGATAAATGAAGCAAATCTCTTTTGGAATTAAGACCACTAAGTCAATTTTGGAGCTGAAAACTCCTATTTAGATTAAACACTCATAATTACAGAGAACTTTATGCCTATGCTTCCTAGAGCAATCAAAGAAGGACATGCAATCTGTTGGTTTTTATGCTTCTATTATCTAATCAAACTATTTTTTACTCTATCCTAATATTAAGAAATAGCGGAACCTACATTCAGTATACTCATCTTAGTGATGGGTTTACACGATGTGATTAACATGCTTCACTATTTAATAATTGGGTATGCAAATCTCTATAATAATTAGAATTCTGACATAATATATAGGTATTATTGATGTATAGAACTTCAATAGATAATTTAATGTACTCTCTCTGAACTCTTCCATTACCTAAATAATCATTTAAGAATTTGTAAGTTATTATCGTCCTGTGAACGGACTTCTCATCATAGATATTATTGAAAAAAAATCCTTCTATTTCAATTGTATTACCATTAAATTATTACACTACTTCATTTCTGTCTATACTTTAGTCACTATAATATTTATTTCCACAGATATCCCCATGCTTATTCAACTATATATTGTACTCTTAATTATTTATTGGTTTATTCCGGTGCTTATGTGCTTTGTTTGGCCATTTGTAATGTTATGGTTTATAGTACTAAGACAAGAATTAAATTATTAATAAAATAGGAACATGATTATCAGTTTCTATGATCAATTACAAAACATTAAATTTAGAATTCTTAAAGAAAAACATCCTTCATTGTAATAAAATGATTGGTATTTTATTTAAATTACTTTAGTCCCATTTGTTATTAACAAATAAATGAATCTCACAGTGTTATTCAAATGCCTTGCCATCAAGAACATTACTTTCATGCTGAATGTTGTAGATAATGGCTTGGGAGAGATCCACGTTGTCCATTGTGTCGAGTAGGATTAGAGTAGTAACCTAAAGATGTGGCATTACTTGAATTCATTTGAATATACTTACTAATTAATAATATATATTAAAATGTAGGATGCTTAAGACAAATTAGAATTACATTCAAAACTCTTGAAATATCCTCCATTTTACACGTACATTCATTATCTCAAGTATGTAGCTTATAAGATCATAAAGAAACAAGAAAGAAACAAATAACTTAATGGGGTGAGATTGTCCATCTCTACTTTCAATCACATAAAATTTTGGAATCCTCTATTAGTGAAATCCTTAATTTTCCCATATTTTAGGATTCATCCTCTGGAATTATTAAGAGATTAGATTCTTCAGAAATCAAAGAAATACTTAATTAAATGGCACAATTAGGATCCATAGAATGGAAAAATGATTAAAATTTCTCTGTGAATTTGGTTAGTCCTTTCGAATTGGCAGATGCAATCTATGCTTGGGCTAAGGAGAAAAAAATGATTGGTTACACAGAGACATTAAGAGGCATTACTGAAGGAAGTCAGACTGATTAAACTAAAAGTATTATTCTACATAAATATATAGAATTTTATAATTTACCTTAAGAATAAATTCTCAAAGCATGCTTAATTTTAGAAGAAACTGGGAGATGTTAAGTATATGAATTTGATGGTTTATATAGTATCAAATTTATATGATTATATTATTTTACATCATAATAATTAAGTATAATTTCTATATTATCTCAAGATGTGAACAATGGAAGCCTATTCTATGTTATAAGAATAGATTTTTATGTATATAGCCAATTTAAATTATTATTTTTTATTTATTTCATATGAAGAGGAACAGTGAATTTGTTTTATGATAGAAAAGAGTAGTTGGCTATTCTCTAACCACCAAAATTGATTTATTATTTATACTTCTAAAAGGAGGAAAAAATATTGAATCATAACAGTCTAAGTTTGAAGTGAAAATACTTTTCTTGTCTCTAAACAGGGTTTTATAAAATTAGCAAATAATAAGCTATTATTAGTTATAATTTTTATGTAAATAAGCATATTTAATAAAGAATATTGTCATATAAAATCTAAAATAGTTCTAAAATTAGTGAATTATTGCTGGAAATTGTGAGAAAACTTATTGCCCTGCAAATGGCATCATTTATTTGGTTTGCTTTCGAAAATCATTATGTCATTTTTATTCATTAACATTTGTTGATCCAATTAAAAACATCTTTCAAAGGTGCTTATTTATCAATTAAGAGACTTTGCAAAATCGCCGAGACCAGAATTCTTCAAAAAAAAAAAAGAGAATTATATTTCTATAATTAGAATTTAATAAAACATATTTCATTATAAATTATTAAATTAGGATAATTTTTCTTATACTAACATAAAAAATAAGTTGAAAAAAAAATGAATATAATCAAATAACAATTCTTAAAACAACAAATGTACTTTAAATGCTAATCCTTTAAATTGTTTTTGAATCAATATCGTTACTTTTTGTTATTATTAGTTTTAATTTAATTTATTTTTCTTAATTTGATTGGTTGATGACTACATTTTTGAATATTCATTGAACATCTCAAAATAACAAGAAAATTATATTTATCTCCAAGCCAACAACATTTAAGAAATAAATATAAGAAGAAAGAGCCGAGAATAAAGTTCAAATTTTTTTAAATTTTTCAAAAAAAAATTCTCCTCTTTTTTTGAATTAAAATCAGGTTAATTATTTTTTATATCAATTTTTCAACATCATTTGTAAAATTGGATTAGTGCCTTTTCAAATGGGAATTTTTCTTCTGATATTTCCCAGCGAGGTTCTAATTTATTGGCAATACAAATTGAATCTGCTTCAATTTTCACCATAATTTATATATCCAAAAAACGAAAAAATAAAAAAGCATTTGATATTTATCGTTAATGAATTTCTCATTTTTTCAAACAACAAACCTATTGTAACTTTGGTTATATAATATTTCTAATCATATAATTCGATTAGTATAATTATCTGATATTTGATTATTATTGAATTGTAAAAAAAGAAAAAAAAAATTATATATACTAAGTTCTTTTCTAATTTGAATAGCCACACTCCTACAAAGCACAAAATTAATTTACTAGAGAATGCAAAATTCAAATTTTGAGCTATTCTAAAAATATTTTTTTTTATTTTTTCTTCTATGAGTAGTTCTATCGACATTTAAGGGGAGAATTTAAAATATTTTCAATGGACTAACAGATCAGATGAGGAGGAAACAGGAGTTGGAATAAATTGATCTGAATTCCACATTAGTTTATAGTAGTGAATATACAATAAGTAATTTAATCTAATACCAAAGTTCTTATGGTTCCAATCTAAGTTTTCTACATTTTGAAGTTATCTCCACCTTCCCTTTTAACATAAAATACATATAATAAATTAATTAATGATGATGATTAACAATATATTCAAATTCTGATTTACAAACAAGAGAATATTATTAGATCATTAATTAAATTAAAATATTTAATTTGAATACGAATTTAAAAGCGATTTCCAGTTTTATTTGAATTTTAATACTTTTAATGAATAATAAATTCATCATACTCTCATTGTTGCTTGCTTTAGTAGCAAGTCAAACATACAGTTTAACATCATGCACATGTGCATAATTGTTATCTGAAGGAGATTGCATCAAAAATGTTTCACTTGGATGTTCATGGGATACAACAAAAAAAACTTGTGGAGTTTCAACAACTCCTGTCACTCCAACAGTGACTTATGCAGCATATTGTGATACATTTGCTGAAACAGATTGCCCAAAAGCTAAACCATGTACTGATTGTGGTAACTACGCCGCTTGTGCTTGGGTTGAAAGCAAATGTACATTCTTCACAGGATGTACACCTTTTGCTAAAACACTTGATTCTGAATGTTAAGCAATCAGTAATAGATGTATTACCGATGGAACTCATTGTGTTGAAATTGATGCTTGTAGTACTTACAAAAAGTAACTTCCATGTGTCAAAAATGCTGCCGGAAGCTTATGCTATTGGGATACAACAAATAACACTTGTGTTGATGCCAACACTTGTGATAAATTACCAGCAACATTCGCAACAGACAAAGATTGCAGAGATGTGATTTCAACTTGTACAACAAAAACCGGAGGTGGATGTGTTGATAGTGGAAATAACTGCAGTGATTAAACATTAGAAATTCAATGTGTTTGGAATAAATTAAAAACAACTGCTTGCTATTGGGATGGAGCTGCATGCAAAGATAGAATTTGTGATAATGCACCAACCAGTTTGACAACTGATGATGCTTGTAAGACATTTAGAACTGATGGAACATGCACAACAAAAGCAAATGGAGGTTGTGTAACTAGAACTACATGTGCTGCTGCAACAATTTAAGCATCATGTATCAAAAATAGTTCAGGTGGTGATTGTTATTGGACAGGAACTGCCTGTGTCGATAAGACATGTGCAAATGCTCCAACTACCATGACAACTAATTCAGCATGCGCAGGATTTGTTACAGGATGTATCACTAAATCTGGTGGTGGTTGTGTTGCTAATGGAGCTTGTTCTGTTGCTAATGTTCAAGCAGCTTGCGTTAAAAATTCAAGCAATTTTGATTGCATTTGGGATACAACTTGTAAAGAAAAAACATGTGCCAATGCCCCTACAACTAATAACACTCATGATTTATGTACTTCTTATTTATCTACTTGTACTGTTAAGTCAGGTGGAGGATGTTAAAATAGAACATGTGCCAATGCTCCAACAACTATGACTACCAATGATGCATGTGAAGCTTATCTCACTGGAAATAATTGCATAACAAAATCAGGAGGTGGATGTGTAACAAATACAACATGTGCTGCAATAACTTTAGAAGCTGCTTGTGTTAAGAATTCTTCTGCATCAACTTGTTTTTGGGATACTGCAAGTTCAAGCTGTAAAGATAAAACATGTGTGAATGCTCCAGCAACTAACACTACTCATGATCTCTGTTAAGCCTTCTTAAATACTTGTACAGTAAATTCAACAAGTGCAGGATGTGTTGAAAAAACATGTGAAAATTCGTTGGTTTTGGCTATTTGTGATAAAGATACAAGCAATAGAGCATGTATTTGGAAAGGAAAATGCTATAAGAAATAATGTGTGTTAGCTTCATCTGCCACAACTACTCATGCTGACTGTTAAACTTATCACTCTACATGTACCTTGAGCAATTCAGGCACTGGATGTGTTCCACTCCCCCTTAAATGCGAAGCTATCACTATTGAAGCTGCTTGCAATTTGAAAGCTAATGGTTAACCATGTGGATGGAATGGATCTTAATGTATTGATAAAGCTTGCTCAACTGCCTCTAAGACATTCACTACAACTTCATAATGCACAGGGCACATATCAACTTGTGTTGCAAATAATCCTGTAACTGTTAATGGTTCTTTGACAATTTAAGGATGTTAAGATTTACCAACAACATGCGCAGCTAGAAAATCATCAGAAAATTGTGAAATCACAAGAGTTGGATTCCCAACATGTTTATGGGTCTCATCTTCTACTTCATGCGTTGAAAAATCATGCGCTACTGCTAGTACAGTGGGAACAACAGGTGCACTCTCTGCAGGAGGATTTACTTTTTCTGGTTGTTAAACTTATCTAAATACTTGTATTTCAAATAATACTGCTGATGGATGCATAGCTAAGCCATCTAGTTGTTCATCATTAGTTTCAAGTAATTGTTAAAATGGATCTAAAGCAAGTGGAGATTGTTATTGGAATGGCAGTAGTTGTGTTGATAGAACTTGTGCAAACATTATCCAAACAACTCATAACAGTTGTAATACTACATTCAATTAATGCACAGTGAATAATGGAGGAACAGCATGTTAAACATTGGCAACTGCCTGCACATCTTATTCAACATAAGAAAATTGTAAATTTACATCAACAAATAAGAATTGTGTTTGGACTGGATTAGCTTGTAGAAATGCCACTTGTGCTGATGCTCCCGATACTACATCATATGATAGTGATACAGAATGCTTAGCTTACCCAACACCAAGCGAAACCTGTACAGTTGTTTACAAAGTTGGAGCTTAAGGATGTGTATCAAAATCAGCAAATTGTTCAGATTACATGACATCAGCTTAATGCCATAAAACTCTCACAAATCTAACAGCCAATGATGATTGTAAGTGGATTGTTGATAGATGTTATGCATTGTCCTCTTTTGCTACAGGAGCTTGCACAACATTCAAAGGTACTAAAACAATGTGTGAAGGATATAGAGCAGGATGTACAAACATCGTAGGTGCAGCATCTTCAGCATCTTGTACTTTAGATTGTACTTTGAAAACAGGATCAGGTTTGACATTTGCAGATTGTTAAGCATTAGATTCTACATGTTCAGTCAAAAAAGATGGCACTGGTTGTATTGCTATCTAATCTACTTGTGCTGGATATGGATCAACAGCAGCTAATTGTTTCAGGTCAAGTGCAAGTGGAAATGCAGGATACTGCACAATGAACACAAATTGCCAATCAGTGACTTCAGCTTCTGAATGTGCATTAGTGACTGGATTAACAGGTTTGGATCATTCTAAATGTTAGCTATATCACTCTTCCTGTACATCCTTAAAAGATGGTACTGGATGTTAGGAGTATAAGACAACTTGTTCAGGTTACGCAGCCACAAACAATTGTGCAACTTCTGGATAAGGAAAATGCTTCTTTGATGTTGAATGTTTACGTTTTACTAATTGTGCTTCCATTACTGGAACAGGATTAACCAATATTAATTGCGCAACTTATGATGCAGGTTGTGTGGCAAATGTAAACGGAACAGCTTGCTAAGAAAAATTAGCAACATGTGATTTGTATTTAACTCAAAACTCTTGTTCAACCTCAGCAGCTGGAGCAACAGCAGATAAATGCGCATGGAGTGGAACCGCTTGCCTTGCAGTTACAACAGTTGCTACCCATTGTGCATATGTTACTGGAACTGGACTGACAAATGCAATATGTGCCACATATAATGTAGGTTGTACAGCTAATAGAACTGGAACAGCATGTCAGGAGAAAAAAGCTACTTGCGATTTATACTTAACAGAAGCCACCTGTTCAACATCAGCAGCTGCAGCAACAGCAGATAAGTGTGCATGGAATACTGCAGGATCAGCTTGCCTTGCAGTTACAACAGTTGCTACCCATTGTGCATATGTTACTGGAACTGGACTGACAAATGCAATATGTGCCACATATAATGCAGGTTGTACAGCTAATAGAACTGGAACAGCATGTCAGGAGAAAAAAGCTACTTGCGATTTATACTTAACAGAAGCCACCTGTTCAACATCAGCAGCTGCAGCAACAGCAGATAAGTGTGCATGGAATACTGCAGGATCAGCTTGCCTTGCAGTTACAACAGTTGCTACCCATTGTGCATATGTTACTGGAACTGGACTGACAAATGCAATATGTGCCACATATAATGCAGGTTGTACAGCTAATAGAACTGGAACAGCATGTCAGGAGAAAAAAGCTACTTGCGATTTATACTTAACAGAAGCCACCTGTTCAACATCAGCAGCTGCAGCAACAGCAGATAAGTGTGCATGGAATACTGCAGGATCAGCTTGCCTTGCAGTTACAACAGTTGCTACCCATTGTGCATATGTTACTGGAACTGGACTGACAAATGCAATATGTGCCACATATAATGCAGGTTGTACAGCTAATAGAACTGGAACAGCATGTCAGGAGAAAAAAGCTACTTGCGATTTATACTTAACAGAAGCCACCTGTTCAACATCAGCAGCTGCAGCAACAGCAGATAAATGTGCATGGAATACTGCAGGATCAGCTTGCCTTGCAGTTACAACTGTTGCTTCAGAATGTGCATATGTTACTGGAACTGGACTGACAAATGCAATATGTGCCACATATAATGCAGGTTGTACAGTGAATAGAGCTGGAACAGCATGCTAAGAAAAACTAGCCACATGCGCTACATATGCTGCAAATTAAGCAGCCTGTTCAATATCATAAGCTGCATCAACTGCTGCTAATTGTGCATGGAGTGGAACAGCTTGTGTTGCTGTTACAACTGTTGCTTCAGAATGTGCATATGTTACTGGAACTGGACTTACTGATGCAATATGTGCCACATATAATGCAGGTTGTACAGTGAATAGAGCTGGAACAGCATGCTAAGAAAAACTAGCCACATGCGCTACATATGCTGCAAATTAAGCAGCCTGTTCAATATCATAAGCTGCATCAACTGCTGCTAATTGTGCATGGAGTGGAACAGCTTGTGTTGCTGTTACAACTGTTGCTACAGATTGTGCTTTTGTTACTGGAACTGGACTTACAAGTGCTATATGTGCCACATATAATGCAGGTTGTATCAATTTAAAGGATGGTACTGGTTGTTAAGAGGCCAAAGCCAATTGCAAAGATTACACAACATCAAATAAATGTTCTGCACAGACAACTAGTACTCTTTCATGTCTTTGGATTGATAATTCTTGTTATCCAATTACTGATTTAAATTGTAGTGCTATTACAGGATCTGGACTTGATCATGCTTAATGCTAAGCCTACAGCACAGGTTGTACATCTGTTTCTGATGGAAGCAAATGTTAAGACTTTAAATCAACTTGCGAATAATATCCAGGTACAACTCTAGGTTGCACAAAAACTGCTACCTCAAAATGTTATTTATAAGGTTCTGCTTGCATTACAATATCAAATGTTGCAACTGATTGCGCTAAAATAACTGGATCTGCTGGAGCCATAACATACGAAATTTGTTAATCGTATAATGTAGGTTGTAGTGCAAATAGAGCAAGAAGTGCTTGTGTCTAATAATAAGCATAATGTTCAGGATATACTAGTGCAATGACAAGTTGTTATAAATCAGGAGCTGGTCTATGTATTGCAAGTACAAATACAGATACTGCTTGTGTAGCTGCAACAGCTGCAACAACTTGCGATGCTGTGTATTTAGGAGCAGGAAATTACAGCAGTGCCAATTGTAATGAAATGAAGACTGGATGTACAAATAATTTAACAACTGCATGTGTAGCAAAAACTTGTGCAAATGCTGTGGTTACATTTAATCATACAAATTGTAATAGTTATCTCAACACCTGTACTGTAAATTCTGGAAACAGTGCATGCTAAACTATGGCATCTAAATGTTCAGATCAAACTTAAGCTTCTTGCCTTTACTCAGTTGAAGGAGAATGTGTAGTAGTAGGTACATCATGCGTACGAAAGACTTGTGATACTGCAGCAACTGATGCTACTCGGGATGATGACACTGAATGCTCAACTTATTAGCAATCTTGTACTGTTGCTAGATTAGGAGCTTGCCAAGTCAGAGCAGCTTGTGCTTCTTACAAATCTTCACTCTAATGTAAATTTAATACTAGTGGTGGAAAATGTTTTTGGAATCCAACTAATAAGACATGTGTTGATTTGAATTGCGGCAACATAGAAGCCTCAAGTTTATACGATACTCATAATGAATGTGTTGTTGTTGATGCAACACTTGCTTGCACAGTCAGAGCTACAAATGGTGCTGCCGTTTAAGGATGTATGGCTAGAGGAGCATGCAGTTCATATACAATTGAAGAACAATGTAAAACAAACGCAAGTAATGGTGTTTGTGTTTGGAATACTAATGCTAATTTGCCAGCACCTGCTTGCTAAGATAAGTCTTGTACCAGTGCTCCAACATCCACTACAACTCATAATGATTGCTATGCTTACTACAATACTGCAACAGTAAAATGTACTGTTGTTGCCACTCCAAGCAATAGTGGTGGTAATCCAACTTTAGGAGGATGTTAACAGACTGCTGCTTGTTCAAGTTATATTGATAAAGAATAATGTTAAATCAACGCCAATGGTGATCCATGTGGATGGAATGGAACATAATGTGCTGACAAATCTTGTGCTACTGCTCCTGCAACTGCAGATTATGATGATGATACTAAATGTAGAGCTTACATTACTAATAAATGTACAGTCTCAGATTCTGGATAAGGATGTGTAGAAATTCCTGCAACATGTGAAACTATGACATAGAAGTAATGTTACTATAATAAGGCTGGAGATCCTTGCTATTGGACAGGAACAGCTTGTATTACAAAATCATGTGACAATGCTCCTGATGCAACTGCTACTGCTGATGAATGTAATACCTATTTAGCTGGATGTACTTTAGATAATGTTAAATGTAAAACTAAAGTTTGTGAAGATTTTGCCTTTGCTACTGATGCTTTATGCAAACAAGCTATCTCTACCTGCACAACAAATGGAACAAATTGTGTTACAAGAGGAACATGCTTCTAAGCCTTAAGTCAAGCTGGATGTGTCACATCCTCGACAAATTAATAATGTGAATGGATACCAGCTGTTTTAAATGCTGCAAATGTAATCACTTCACCTGCTTATTGTACAATTAAAAATTGTAGCACTGCTCCAATTACTTTAACAAGTGAAGCTGCTTGCGCTGGATATTTTACAAATTGTACAACAAAGAATGGTGGAGGATGCGTTACTAAATCAACTTGCTCAGCTGTCACTATTGATGTAGCTTGCACAACTGCTTTGAATGGTACTGTATGTGCTTGGGATAGTGCATAAAATAAATGCAGAGATAAAGATTGCTAAGATTTCAGTGGAACTACTCATGCTGCATGCTAGGCTTAAAGAGCTGGATGTACAGCTGGAGCTAGTGGAAAATGTGCTAGAGTATAAAATTGTGAACAAACTTCAGTAAGAGCAGCTTGCATAGAAGGAACAAATGGACCATGCTTGTGGATTGATAAATATCTAAATACTGATGGAACTAAAGGGGCTTGTTTCAGATATACATCATGCAAGAGTTTAACTTGGAATAATGATAGTTCATGCAAATGGATAAGTAATAAATGCACAACTAATGGTTCAAATTGTGTCGGAATTACTTTATGTTCAGAAACTAACACTGACGGAGGTTGTGTCACTGGATATGACGGAGCTTGTATTCAATCAGTACCAGCCTTGAATTCTTCAGATCCAAAAGTATGTAAACCTTACACCTCATGTGCTGATGCTTTCTACACAACTCATTCAGATTGTTAAATTGCTAGTAGTAAGTGCACAACTAATGGAACAACCGGTTGCATTGCTTTAGGGTCATGCTCATCATATACTGCTTAGGCTGGATGTTACTTCAATGATAAGGGAACTCTATATACATCTGGAGCTATTACATCCACTGGTATTTGTACATGGGATACTACATCAAGTAGTTGCAGAGATTAATCTTGTGCTGATTTGACAGGCACAACTCATGCAACATGTTCTTCATAATTATCAACCTGCACATCAGATGGAACTACTTGTTTACTTAAAGGAGCCTGTACATCTTACACAACTTAAACTGCTTGCACAACAGCAGTTGGATCTGATGGAGCATGCTACTGGGAATTAGCATCTGCTACAAATAATAATACTGCAAAATGTAGATTACTTACTTGTGCTGATATTCAAAATGGAACAGCAACTAACGTTTGTTCTGTAGCCTTGTCAACTTGTGTTTCAAATGGAACTGCATGCATTCCAAAAGCCAATTGCTCAACATATACATCTAAGATAGCATGTAATTCTGGAGGTTTGGATGGAATTTGTGTATTCACTTAATCAACAGCAACTGGAGCTGCTGCTGGAACTGGAACTTGTGCATTAATGACTGCATGTACCGTTGCTAATAATGATTAAACAGCCTGCTAAGCTGCCAGAGATAGATGTTCTTGGACTGCTGCTTCAGGAACTGGAGCAACCGCAGTTGCTAGTAAATGTGCTACTCATACTTGTGCTACAAATTAAGCTACCAACGGAGCTTGTACAAGATTTTTAAATTGGGATAAAAAGACTTAATAGGTTTGTACTCTAGTAAGCGGAGCCTGCACAGCAACAGATCCATCAACATTGTCTTCAAACGATTGCTTCTTAGTTTCTGGATACACATATACTTGGAATGCATCAACAAGCAAATGCGGAGTTTGCACAGCAGTTGTAGTTTAACCAAATACCACAGACAATAATACCAACACTACAGATAATAACACAACAACAGACTCAGGATACATTCTTGGATTGTCTGTCGTTTTAGGATATCTTATGTTCTGATGAGAATGATTTTTAAATATATATAGGGAAAATTTTATAAAATACACAAAAAAATCATCTTTCTAATCATTATTTTTTGTCTACAATTATTTAACTTTTTTGCATGTTTAGAATTCTTAAAATTATCTCCCCAAAGATAGACAGAAGATATCTACAATAAAAATGAAATCATAAAATTTTAATTTTTAGAAAATTGAAAAAGATTAATTGAAGGAAAAATTTTCGTTCAAATATTTATCGCTGATAATTTTCTACTTCTTTAAGCTTAATAGAATTTTCCACAACATTAGAACATGCAAAGAAGAAATGTCGATAAATTTTGTCTAGTTTTTTTTTAAATTAAGAATGTTTTTTCACTTAGCATTTTCTACATTTTTTTTAATTTTCAATAATATACACCATATTAGACTTATAGATTGAACTTTCTTCCATTTGCAACGTCCCTTTTTTTTGCTCATTCAGAGTCTTAAAGTTTTCTACATAAGATAAAATTTCAAACATTATATGGAACATACAAAATGAATATTAATAGAGTAAAAAAGTGAATTATATAAGAATAAATTTTATTTAATACTTTCTAAACAAATAATTCCTGAATTATAGACCTATTTTCTTATTTCTGTTTTGGTAGCAATTCAATTTTATTTTGATATTTTTTTGTATTTCTTTGATTCAAAAATTGTAAAAGAACTAGCTATGAATCTTGAAATCCCTATCTATTATTAAATAGAATTAGAAAATTACACCTATATTCTCCTTCAAGACTATTCGAATTTTCTTGTATCCTTATCTTTATTCTAATTGGCTTTAGCATGGAGCCTGATTCCTTGTCTCTGTTCAGCTGTCTCATGAAGTACTCTATGCAATATTGTGGCTTGTTTATCTTTACGAGGTTCTTGAAGTCTGTCTTTCTTCTCTAGTATAACGAGTCTAGAAATATCTCTACTGTCTTATTAATGAGAAAAGCAATATTATATTTGATCAGGAACATAAAGAAAAGACAAGTCGGCAATTTACTTGTACCTTTTGAGGGATAGATTCTAGGATGGCATTAAATTCTAAATACTTCTCTAGTTATCGATTACTTGATTCTAAATGAACATTATACTATTTCTACAATTTCAAAACTTGAGATATGGGAAAATACCTTGCCAAAGGGTACATTTCGATGCTTGGCTAAAATCAAGAATTCCAAAATTTTAAATAATACTTATTTTTACTAAAAAATTAATTGCACAGAATCCTCTATTTGATTGATTGTTATTATTTTAATAATCATAATTTTTCTAAATTTATTTGATGATTAGAATATTTTGAATATTATAAAATAATTAAATGAAGTGATTATTTACAAAAATATTGAATCATGCTTTTGAAATTTGAGAGAAGTAAGATAAAAGTCTCATTTCCCTTCCATAAACTTAAGAAAAAATACCTGTAAGAATTTTGTTACTCCTTGTCATTAAATTTCTATAATTAAGTGTTTATTTTTTTTGGATATATAGATTATAACAATTTAGGATGCTATGAAGTATTTATTGACATTAAGCTTATTAAGAGCTATTAGTGCTACCATTTTTGAGTTCTATTATATTTTATTCACTTCACTTTAAAATTATTATTTTTCTATAATTTAATATATAATCAATAAATTGATAAAATAAATTTTTTCACAAGTATAAGATATCATAA